AATGTAAAAGCTGAATATTTTGACTTTATTAAACACATTGTAGAATTTAGTCAAATTAATGCCTTTTTTAAAAAAGAGGAACATTTCATGATTCACTTAAATTGAAAGTTTGAATGTAACTTGTATTATCAGTTTTCAAACTGCATACATCTGGATATGACTGAGTGTTTGATTTGAGAGTTGTGCTCCTTTAACATGTTGGTTGTTCCCATCAGCTGGATCCAAAAACAAAACATTCAGGTTGTGACAGGGCAAACATCCAAAGACACGGTTCAAGCATCAAGACAGAAAACTGAAAACAGTCAGAATGTATCTGCATGGTTGCCTTCATTACCTGATATATTGGGAGCTGGGCGAATCGAACAAAAATGTTGCTTTTTTACGACATTTTATTTGAAAGTGGAGTTAGATGTGTGAACTGTAAAGTTTGTGGAAATCAGCTGCTGTCGGGTGGATATTTGCTCTGATTCTCATTTACAGAGTGATAAAAAGAATTATACTATCACCTATATTGGGTAGGGATTTATTTGTTTTTATCATGTAAATATGTGCAACTTTGCAAAACAAATTATGTGCATTTTTAACTGCTGAAATTTATCCCACAAAGCTGAACTAACTATAAGCATTGCCATTTGGCTCCTCTGTTTTTGTGAGTTTGTGTGGGCGGTCAGTGTGGACTGGGGTTGGAGGAACAGCGAGTCCACTGAAAGGTGTGTGAGGAAGGCAAACAGCTTTGTTAAGGATTTTATCCTTTTTTTCCACTAAGTAGCTTTAATTTTTTGCAAGAATAGTGTGACGTTATCGTCATGTTGCATAGAAGACAAAACATTTACCAGAAAAACAAAATCCAGTTATTCTAGTTGTTTTGTCAAACTTACACACAGACTCCTTGCCATCGCTTACTGTAACAATAACTTAATGAAGAGACAAAACTGMATCATTTGTTTCTGTTAAAAGACTCTGGACTTTAAAAACACTTGTTTTCCTCCTTCAGGTTAGCGCTTCCTTCCAGAGGAAGGTTCAGAGTAAGATGAAGGATCTCGTCCTGCAGATGGAGGAGGGCCTGAAGACTGCTGACCCCCATGACTTCTCCACCTACACCGGCTGGACAGGTCCGTCTCCAAGAGCTGTAAAAGTGACTTCATCCATTTTTAAAGGGATCCCCAATTAGTTTTAACATTAGACTTTATTTGATAAACATTTATTTTAACTGTAAAATAAAGACTGTAAAAATATGTGGGCTGCTTAGTTTTGTAAATTTTTTAAAAACATTTTAACACGGACGGAGCCATTTTATTTACACACAAAGCATTCTGGGTAAATGATGACATGGATAGGTCATCGGTGCGAGGCTGCTAGCGAGCTATATCCACCCTGAAGGTTAATCCTGGACAATATCTGATGATCGACTCTTTTAAATGAAACCAGAGAGCGTTGACAG